CGAGGAGGAAGACGAGGAGGACACCGTGACACGGCTGGGCCCCGAGGACACGCTGCCCAGCCCGGAGCTGTCCGCGGAGCCCGATGGGACCGTGAGCATTAACGTCTTCACGTCGGCAGAGGAGCTGGAGCGCGCGCAGCGCTTGGAGGAGCGGGAACGGATCCTGCGGGAGATCTGGCGCACCGGGCAGCCGGACCTGCTGGGCACGGGCACGCTGGGGCCCAGCCCCACGGCCACGGGCACGCTGGGCCGCCTGCACTATTACTGACCGGGCCTCGCTCCACGGCCGGGCGCGCTGGGTCCTGGACGTGCACACGAGCTCGTCGCTGACGCAGGACCTTCCTACCGCCCTGCCGGCCGTGCTGTCGGCCCCGCCCCCGCGGCTCCCACGGTGCTATTGGGCGCGATCCCCACCCTCTGGGAGGCGCCTTTCCCCAGTCCTGCCTGAAGACCCTGGGGGGGAGGGCAGGACCCAGGGTCCCCACCCTCGCTCCGGGGACGGTCCAGAGGTGAAGTGACCAATGAAAGCTGCGTTCTTAGTGACTCGGTGTCTCTGTTATCCCGGCCTCCTACGTTCCTCCGCAGGCGCCTGTCCTGCAGGGGCCCCAGGGCAGAGAGCCACTGGACTCCTTTACCAGGCTGACCGCCCCATCACTCCGTCCTCAGCACACTTGTCTCACACAGAACGAGTACCACTCGAATTCCTTACTCAAATGCACTCCTTACTCGCACGCTCCTGGGCACACGTCACCCCTGTCCCGACAAGTGCCCAGGGTTCATGCATCACTGCCATCACCCAACGCCAGGCCTCGGGAGCCCGACCTTGACGCCAAGGTGCCCCGGTGTAACCACGTGTGCCTGAGCTGAGGCGCGTTTCTGTGAGTCCCGAAGGGACAGTGGGGCCAACTGGGAGGAGTCTGGGGCTGGAAAGCAGGGTTGCTGGCGCACAGCTGGATTCCGGAATCCGGCCGCAGGCAAAGCCTGACCCCGCCTGGGCCTGGGCCCCTCCTGCTTGCTGGCGTCCGAAGGAGACGCCCACCCAACCC